AATTGTCCACATTGTCCACAGATATTCTGATCGCACGTTTGCTCGGAACGACGATTGTATCGAATGTTCGCATCACGCCCGAGATAACGCCGCGGAGGACGCGCGGAGGACGAAGATTGCCAAAGATTGTCGTAGTAGATCGCGTCGCCCCCCCCTTTTCGCGTAGGCCACCCAATGAGTACCCGGGCCGGATGCGTCGTCTAAATTCACGATGCCGCTCTCATCGCGGCGCGCCCGCGATGGAAGCGCGTCGCGCATAAACACGCCTCTAAAGTGAGGCACGCGTGAGAGTATCGCCGCGCGATTTAACTGTTCGTTCGTCGTTACTCCGACTGATGGGAGAATCCCTAGCGTCTGTTTACGCGAAGTTTTTTTTAGCTCTTCCTTTTCTTCTCATCGCGAACGCGCCACTTCCGCGCTTGTACGGTGCGAGGTTAGGAACCACGACCCTCCATTGCGCGATCGTGACGTTGCAGTTCCTCCAACTGTCGTCGCGCCGCTTTGCGATCGTTCACCGCTTTCGCGATTCCCGCCGCTCCTCCAGCCAAAGAACCGAGAGCTCCCAATAACGGCAGCAGGGGCAAAAAGCCGCCGCGTTTCGCTATCGGAAGCGTTCTTTTCCTCGTATCGGTCGTTCTCCAAGCAAAAGCTACGTTGAAGGAATCACGTCGCAATTGAGAAAAGATGCGGACGAGGCAGGGAAAGGCGTCATTCAAAAGAAACGCGGACGAGCTATCGGGGAGAGTGAGGGAACTAGCGAAGATTCGCGAGACCAGCGGCGAGTCGCTCAAGAGAGAGATCTCGCCCAACGTCATCCTTGAGAGAAAGAGAAGAGAATTATGAGCGCCGAAAAACGAAGACTAGTCGAGGAGTTGCACGCGCCCGCGAAAAGAAACTTTCCGCGTCGTCGCGTCGCGATACGTTGGTACGACGACCTGTGGCAGGCAGATGTGGTCGAGGTGCATTCTTACGCGAGACTCAACAAAGGCCACAACTACATACTCACCGTTATCGACGCATTAAGCAAATACGCTTGGGCCGTACCGCTTAAGAGCGCGAACGAGATTACCCGAGCGTTATCCAAAATAGTGCGAGACTCTAAGCGATGTCCAAAAAATCTGCAGACCGACAAAGGAAAGGAATTCTATAACGCCAAGGTGCGAAAATTCGTGGAAAAGGGCGAAGTGAATCATTACTCGACGTAATCGGTGATGAAGGCGTCGATCGTCGAACGATTCAATCGCACGCTCAAAAATTCTATGTGGAAGTATTTCACGCTAAGCGGAACGTACAAGTGGATCGACGAATTACCTCGACTCGTCGAGGAGTACAACGCGCGAAAACATCGCACTATAGGTATGAGACCCGTCGACGTGACTCCAGCGATCGCCGATAAACTTTTAAATACGGTATACAGCAATATAAAAATCGCGGCTCCGGCGAAATTCAAAGTAGCCGATCCGGTATGCGTCAGCAAGTTTAAGACGATCTTCGAGAAAGGCTTCACACCTAACTGGACCACTGAGGTTTTTCGAATAACCAAGATACAACGGACTAATCCCGTAACATATCTGCTGAAGGATTCTACGAGCACGAGTTGCTGCGCGTCGTCCCACGATTTTTTATAATGCGTCCGTCCTTCTCGCGTTCCATACGAGTTCTCTCTCGCGCTCCATACAGATTCTTTCTCGCGCCGCTAAGCAGCCGCCTGCGTTTTCTCTTTCGCGCTTTATACGGACTCTTTCTCACGCTCTATATGAATTCTTTTATCACACCGCTACGCGAACGTCATATCTCGCGTTAACCTTTTTCGCGTTGTTCGATATATAATGCTTCCGAGAACATAATAAAGAGATTGTGGGAATTTCCAAGCTGTTCTATTTTTAACAAATCTCGATGCAGATTTGGTAAACTGCTCTAGCCCGAGATTTG